GGGCCGGGAGGCAGGGTTCCCAGATTAAGATCTTCAAGAGATCTTTGATGGGCTAGAGATGACCTGATATTTGACAAGAAAATCAACCCTGAACTTTTGTTTTGGTGAAATATATGTAATAAAACATTTACCAATTCAATCATTTTTACGCATGTATTTCCGGGGCTTTAATTACGTTCATCGTGTTGTGGAACCGTCACCGCTCTCCTCCGTTTTCATCGCCCCAACAGAAACTCTGTGCCCCTAAGCAGCCCCCCGACCCCCATCTCCCCTCCCACCCGCCCCCGGCTAACCGTTAGTAAACTATGGTCTCTAGGCATCTGTGTATTCTAGATATTCGCTGTGAGTGAGCTCAGTCAATGTTTGATTTCTGACTTTTGTGGCTGACTTGTTTCCCTCAGTGTCGCGTGTTCAGGGTTCATCCGTGTTGTAGCGTGTGTCAGAGCTTCCTTTCTCTTCAAGGCTGAGTAACATTCCACTGTACAGCTGGACCACAGTGTGTTCACCCGTTTCTCTGGGCATGGGTGCTGAAGGTAGTATCTACCTTCTGGCTCTTGCGAATAGTGCTCTTGTGAACGCTGGTGTGCAGGTTTCTGTTTGCGTCCCTGCTTTCCAGTCTTTTGGGTGTATGCCTAGACTTATCTTTAAAATAGATTTTTTTAATTATATAAAGTAATCTGTGTTCATTGTAGAAAAATTAGAAAATGCTGATAACCAAAGAGAACCATCCCCCATAGCCCTGTCATTAATATCCTGGGACACATCCAGATACTTTGTCTGTGTCCCTTAAAACTTTTCTTCATCGTCAAGCTCAGCTGTGGGCTTTCCATGAGCCTCAGGCCTGAGGCTGAACGTGGCTGTGACTCAGTCACGGAGGGTAGCTTGAGTAGAGTAGGTGCCGCTGGGGTGAATGTCCTGGAATCCTTCTACTTGGACCCTCTCAAGTTGCCCTGCTAACATCATGCACACGGTCTGCAGTTTGGAAATGCTTTCTTCTCCTTCCTTTAGGTCCTATATCTCTTTTGATATCCTGAGAAGAGTGTTGAAGGATTACTTCAAATATGACGTCTTTTATTGCATGAACATCACGGACATCGATGATAAGGTAAGGGGCGTTTTCCAGGTTAAATTCTAAAGACACAGAATTATGATGGAGGGAGACTTGGCTCTTGGATAAATCAGTAAATAGTGTGGGATTCAGCGAGGGTAGGTCTGCACCTGGTCAACATGGTTGGAATCCCCTCATGAGTCAGCGTTTCTTTCTTTCCCAGATCATCAGGCGGGCGCGGCAGAACCACCTATTCGAGAGGTACCGGGAGAAGCAGCCCCAGGCAGCCCAGCTCCTCGAGGACATACGTGCTGCCCTGCAGGTGGTCCTTCCGTGGGCCCCAGACCACCGGCCTCAGAGGCTGACTGGGGGCCCCGTCCCTAGTCTGTCTGCAGTGGGTGTTGGCAAAACACACATAGCTCTGTCGTGGGTCACCAAGATCTTGATAGAGCTGGTCCCGCAACCTGTGAGGAAGCCTCCAGGAAAGACACACATGGCAGGATGTAGAGCAGTTCCTGGATTCCACGCAGCGACTCTAATCTGCCTCACACGTAAATGTGCTTCCTACCACTCCATCTCACCCTCGGCGTCCGGGGCACCGCCAAGTCAGAGATGCAGAAGTGACACCGGGGTTTGGGATTGGCGATGTCATACATATCTTGGAATTATTTGAAGTTGTTGGGTGCCATCGAGTTGATTCTGACTCATGGCAGCACTGTGTGACAGAGTAGAACTGCCCCGGAGGCTTGCCTAGGCTGTAGTCTTTGCGGAAGCAGGTAACCAGAGTCAGTTCTCACCGATTTTAGTATTTTAATTTTGAATGAAGAGTTGTACAAACATTAAATTTTGTAGTACGTAGCAAGATCAGGTAGGATAAGGCATTTCATTGTCTGTCATAAAGTCTGCTGTGCCTGCGGCGGTTTATCTCTGCGAGGAGAACAGGGTACAGTCAGAGCCCTGCACTCTGTCAGGCCCTGGAGGCTGGACACGGAGCCGAGAGCCCTTCCCGCGGGAGGTGGCTGACACCAAGGGCTCACCAGGTGCTGGGCACTCCTCGGGGCTGATTAGATGAACCAGCTGGTTTAACCCCTCAGATAGCCCAGAAGTACTGCTCTTACATTAGAGAAACGGAGGCATGGCGGGTAGGGGAAAGGCCCTGTCCAAAAGCAGCTGCTGGGCTGTGCCTGGGCAGAGCCCTCGCCTACCGCTGCTTGGAGAAAAGAATTCAGATTTCTTCAAAGTCACGGGACTGTGGAAAGAACTCTCATCACCTTTCAGTCGCCTTCATGAACACCAGGTTTCCCTGAGCAGAGTCTAACCTTCGACCTGTCCTTCTCGCTGCAGCCGTTCTCAGCGAAAGTGAAGGAGACAACGGATCCCAATAAAAGGCAGATGCTCGAGAGGACCCAGCGCACCGTGGAGCTGGCCGCCGAGCCGCTTGAGAAGGCCGTGCAGGCCAAGCTCCCCGCAGAAGAGATCAGCAGCTGTGCTGAGGTGGGATTTGAAGTGTGTCCTGGCCAGCCCTTGGGTGTTCACATAGCAGGGGTGCACAGGTGGGATTCTGTGTCTTAACCTGATATAGCCTGGGCCGCACCTCTGGAAGCTGTGCATGACAGGTGGTCCAGTTCCCTGGGGGCCACGTTGGTGCCCCCACCCTGCCCCTCTGCCCCATTTCCTGGTCCTGGTCTGCCTCCTGGGTGCAAAGTCAGGGCCACTGGAGTAAGGTGCACAGTCCCATGCCTGAGCCTTTGTGCTGCCCTGCCCCCACCTCCTGCCCACCCTCCCATTAGACAAGTAGGACATTGCTGTGAAAAGGTTCCAGGATTGTCCAGCAGCTCCCACTGACACATTTTTTTTTTAATCTTTTAAGATTTGTTTTGTTGTTGTTGAGAATCTATACAGCAGAACATAGACCAGTTCAGCAGTTTCTCCCTGTACGGTTCAGTGGCATTGATGATGTTCTCTGAGTTGTGCAACCATTCTCACCCTCCTTCTCTGAGGTATTCTTCCCCGATTAACATAAACTCACTGCTCCCTAAGGTTCCTGTCTAATTTTTCTTATTGCTATTGTCACTTTGATCCCGTATAGATAGTTCTGAAAAGAGCACAGTGCTGAAGGGATGTTTTTTACTTGTTAAGCTAAACCATGATTTGGTTTTAAGAAGACTTGAGGGGATATTTTTGGTTTAAAGTTTAAAGATTATCTCAGGGCAATAGTTTCAGGGCTTCATCCAGCCCCCGTGGCTTCAGAAAGTCTACAGTCCATGAGAATTTGAAATTCTGTTCTGCATTTTTCCTCCTTTTGATCAGGATTCTTCTATAGTATCTCCAATCAAAATGTTCAGTAACGGTAGCTGGGCACCATCCAGTTGTTCTGGTCTCTTGGCAAAGAAGGCAGTTGTTCATGGAGGCAATTGGCCACACATTCCATTCCCTCCTCCTATTCCTGGCTCTCCTTCTTCCTCTGTTGCTCCAGGCAAATAGAGACCAGTTGTGCCTTCGATGGCCACTTGCAAGCTTCTAAGACCCCAGGCGCTACACAACGAACTAGGAGGTAGAACAGAAGCACTAAACACGTTATTAGGCCAATGAACGGGCGTGCACTGCTATTTCTTAACAACAGCCACTGCAGGAAGTTGAGGCAGACTGAAGTTGAATGGAGTGGTGGGGTGTATGGAGCGGGGAGTGCCAGCTGAATTTGGGGCCTCGTGTTCGCCGGCTCTTTTACTTCACCCGAAAATGAGGGCTGTCTCAGCCATCTAGTGCTGCTCTAACAAATACCACAAGTGAGTGGTTTTTAACAACAGAAATTTATTCTCTCACAGTCCAGTAGGTTACAAGTCCAAATTTAGGGCATCAGCTCCAGGAGAAGGCTTTCTCTCTCTGTCGGCTCTGGAGGAAGGTCCTCGTGATGCACCAGTCTTCCCTTGGTCTGGGAGCTTCTCTGCGCAGGAACCTCAGGTCCAAAGGATGCGCTCCGCTCCCAGCACTGCTTCCTTGGTGGTATGAGGTTCCTATGTGTCTCTGCTCGCTTGTCTCTTTTATACTTCAAAAGAGATTGCATTAAGACACTGTCTAATCTTGTCAACCTCATCAGTATAACCTCATCATAGTGATAGAATTTACAACACATTAAGGAAATCACATCAGATTACACAATCATACACGGGGAATCATGACCCAGCCAAGCTGACAGATATTTCTGGGGGACAAATCCATGACAAGGGCCTTGGCTAAAAGGGGTACCCTGACCCTCTTCGTTCTGGGCTCTCCCTGCCAGAGCGGCCACCCCTAATGGCACACCCAGCCTGGGCTCCCTTGTGCTCCCAGTTCACCGTCACCCTGAATGGCACCCAGATGGCCCTTCTCCTTTACGCCAGCGCCGCCTGCTGGTCACCCGCTGGAACCTCACTGGACACCTAGAAGCCTGACAGAATGCATGTAGTGTAGATGTGAGCGCTGAAGGTTCAGGAGACACACCAAGAGCCCACCCCTGGCTTTAGGACCCGAGCGCTGCCAGCACCCAGGCATCACGGGTCCCAGCCCGCTGCCTCCAGGAGCCAGTGGGCAGAGTTCCTGTGTCCTCTGGCGTTTTCCTTCTTAGTGTTCCCTAATGACACGTAATGCCCATGTAGACTGCCTTGAGGACCGGCCATTTCACGCGAGTTGCATCTCTAAGGTGGATCTGCGGGTGGGAGCTGCAGCTCTCGTTTCCTGTCTGTGGGCTCTGTGGACGCTGGGCCCGTCTGTGAGCTGTGTGACAGCAGTCAGGTTTTGTGGTGGCCTGCAGTGCCGCCATGAGCTGTTCTGTGTCTGTCTCTGGGTGCACGCGTGCCAGAGCTCCCAGGAGAGGAACTGCGGGCTGAGGGGATGCGTCTGGGTGCCTGTCGGATCCCCGAGGGCCCCCTCTCCCCCCTGCAAGTCCAGTGACTCGCAGAAGGATGCACGGACTCGGCACATCACTGCACTCAGGGCTGAGGCTTATCCCTGAGACAGGCTGCACGGCCTGTCGGTAGGGAGCCCAGGCAGAGTCTGTAGGAGTTCTGCCCTGGAGGTCACACCCAGCCCACTCTCCCTTTGCATCAAAAATGCAGCCCCATGCGCTGACCTGTCTGACCTGGGAGGCCCCCCGGTGCGCCAGCCATGTCTGCCAGGGGAGGCCCACCCGTGCGCAGGCCACATCTGCCAGGGGAGGCCCCCCGTGCCCCGGCTGCGTCTGCCCGGGGGAGGCCCCTCAGACTCTGCGCCCAGGTTTTCATTGGTGTTGGTCACCTGGCGGGTATCCCAATTCCCGACTCCAGCAGTAAGGGTGTTTGGTGTAAACCACCTTGTGTATGCAGACAGTCCAGGCAGCAGCTTCTCGGGCTGTGGCGTCCCAGCCTCAGCTGCCGGCAGCCTGCCGAGGGCCTTCCTGAAGGTGGCGGCCTCACGCCTGCTGGGTCACTCCAGTGCGCAGTGATAAGATGATGCCAGATTGTTTCCCAGACTATCAGTGCATTTCCAGAATATTATCTGCATTTACGCCAGGGCTCAGGGTTGCCGGGCTGTGTCCTTCACGCCAGGGAGGGTGGAGAGTGGTGATGCTATCTGGACCTGGCGTTTCTCCAAGCTCTAGTGGCGCTGGCTGTGTTCTCACCGGCTCACCTGCCACCAGGCACCTCCCGGGCACGTGCCTTTTGGCCCTATTTTCCCTGGGTTATTTGTTGTTTCCTTAGTGGTCTGTAATTAGTCTGTGTGTCCCAGATATTAATCCTTTGTTAATTAAACATGTTACAAGTAACCAAAAAAAAAAAAAGAACCCATTTGCCTTTGAGTCGATTCTGACTTATAGTGACCCTATAGGACAGAGTAGAATTTCCCCATAGTGTTTCCAAGGAGCAGCTGGTAGATTCCAACTGCCAGCCTTTTGGTTATTAGCTGAGCTCTTAACCACTGCGCCACCAGGGCTCCGTGTTGCAAATACTTTCCCCAATTTGTGCCTTTTCTTTGACTTTCTTCCAGTAAACGAAAACCAAACCAGTTGCTGTGGAGTCAGTTCTGACTCATGGCAACCCCACGTGTGTCAGAGTAGAACGGTGCTGGTTTTTCAGAAGTAGATCACCAGACCTTTCTTCTGAGGCACCTCTGGGTGGACTCAAACCTCCAACCTTTCAGTTAGTAATCGAGCACAAACAATTTGCTCCACCAGGAATGCCTCCTGACGAGCAGAGGGTCCTGGTTTTATTGGAACTAAACACGTCAGGTTTCTCTTTTCTAGTTAGGACTTCTGTATCTTAAGAAGTCTTCCCACCGGGAGACAGAAAGGGATTCTCCTGTATTTCCCTCTGAAGTCTTTAGAGTTTGCCTCTTCACGTGCAAGGCTTCAGTCCCTCTAAGAATCAGTTTCTGGGAACGGTGTGAGTAGGCATCCAGTCCCTTCCTTCCCCAAATACAGAAGCCCCTCCTTCCCCCGGGTGTCTGCGGTGCCATCCCTGCGCTGGGCCAGGTTCCCAGCCCCGCAGGGCGCCCTCGGCTCCACCCTGTCTCCCTGTGCGAGTCCCTTGCTGTCTCGTGACTGGTATCTAGCAGGGCGGGAGGCTCCTGTGGTGGTGTCTTCTGGCCATCTGCAGCCTGTCAGCTTCCACGCGGGACACGGGGAGCGGGGTTTCCTTGGAATTGTTGTCTCCAAGAACCATTTCAGGTGTCCAGCTTTCAGCTTTGGTGATCCTCTCTGTTCTGTCTTTCCTGTTTCGTTCATTTTTGCCCCGTTTGAATTAGCTCATTCCTCCTTCTTTCTTCCTGTTTCTTCTGCTCTTTTTGCCTCACTTCTGAAAACTGGAGCTTAGCTCGTTCTTGGTGGCCGTGTCTCAGGCCACACGTTTCTGAGCGTCATTGCCACTTCTATCAGTTTGGACCACGTTCACTCCTGGACAGTTGGTTATTTCCATTTGGGTTTCTTTTTAACCCCAGAGATTATTCGGTAGTGTGTTTTTAATTCATAAGAGTATGGTGTTCTTCAGATTAGCTTTTCATCGGGCACTTATGACTTAGCTGCACATTGCTCGGCGGCCCA